TCGTTGAAGATAGTGCCAGCCGTCACCTGATGATGACATTTTCAACTTTCAGATTTTTTTATATACAATTGTAATTTCATTTTCTTATAAACGAATGGAAACTTTTTCCCCCCCCCCCCCTCCTCCTCCTCCTCCTCCTCCTCATCCTCATCCTCCTCATCCTCCTCCTCATCCTCCTCCGGGCTTTCCGGAGGTATATGCCGGATGATCTCGGCATGATCCATGTCTTCTTGGTCGCCGTCATCGTACAGCTATTGTACAACAAGCACATGATGCGTGTATAAGAGGAGGAAGCGGCAGCGCGCAAGGGGGGTGCGCGTAGCAAAATAAATAGGCATGTCAAAAAAACAATGCAGTAGTTTACAAAACCTTCACCTGTCCAAAGACAAGATTTTGATGGCCCTCTACTTGTCCACCCACCATCGGTGGGCTAAATATTAACATTGCCAGAAGAATGTTAAAAAAAACACGTACATCAAACACAATTTTACTAGGTCCAAGATGAGTAGGTCCTTACACATGTCCCACTCGTGTCTTAGTCTCTTGGCTCACCACGTGATACAGCACCTCGCCGCTGTCGACCAAGACGTGCGCGTAGGCCACGGTCCCGTGGTAGGGCACGCCGCCGAAGGTCTTCCAGACTTCTCTCCCCACCTGCGACATATTTTTTCACGGAACATAAGTGCATGCCAAAGTTGCCATGGGTCGAAAGAGTTTTTTTCACCTCCATTGGCCGATTTTCCTGTAGTAACCGCCGCCGTCACTGCTACACTGCATGGGCCACTCCCATGCGTTTTTTTACGGCGGTCGGTACGGGACGAAGCCCACTTTATCCCCGTTCTTGTGCAACCACAGCCGCAGTTGCTGCTGGTCGACGCACATGGTCTCTCCTCGCACGTTCGATCGAAACAATCCAGTCAACGACAAGCTGCGCCCGAAATGACAGAGCTGGCTCAGGCTTCGTGGGGACGCTAGCTCTAGAGCGCAGACGCGGCAACACCGACACCCGTCACCCCCCCCCCCCC